AAACTGAGCATATAAATATAAAAGAGACTGGAAACCAGTGTAGTACAAGCATTTCAAAACTTTGCTGCAGGAAGGAAATGTATGGTTCAAAATTTGCTTCTATTGTTAACTCCATAGGTTGCTTTAGAGATGTCACCATTGGGCATCTGCCTTTGCATAGATCTTGCCATATTTTCACAATAGAAGTGCTGGCCTACTTTACAGAGCATGTTGTAAAGGTTTACACAATAATGTATCACTACAAAGCACTGAACCTAACAGAATAATTTTGTATTTGTATTTGTGTCTGCATATGAATGATACATATTCAAACCTTTTTCTCCATCAGTAATTTGGAGTTATTAATTCTTAGATGATAATATAAGTATGCAATATTTTAGTTATCTTCCTTATGCTTGTTTGCAAGAAAAGCAAGCAAGTACACACCTGTAAGGTTTATCGATCAAAAACATGTTTCTTATCAAAGAAACATGATAAGGAACATTTCCTTATCAAAATATCTATTATGTATCCATTGCCACCCATTCCCAAGCAGAATTTGTTTTTACCTAAGATAGCTTTTATATTTTATGTTGAAGTCATAGCATATATGAATTTTAACAGGTCTTGTTGGATGGACTTGATGCATTTAAACTGACATGTCTTTTAAAAAATTACATATTGAATAAACTGTTTTTCAAATTTCAGAGTAGTTGGTGTTTACAGATTATGATGTAACCAGACATTCTTGCTGAAAATATGGTGAATGGTGTGATACAGCTTTTAACTCTTCAGTTCCTCCCTTGAAAATAATTTGGCATTTTTAGATTTTTTTTCTAAATTCACATGCAGATGTGGATGTGCCTATGATCAAATAATTTTGCTCTAATCTTTGTAGAAGATAAATAATGCCACTTTATAAGTCTATAAGAAGTAAGCCTTATTTTTTTCTGTTAAGTACTGTATTTAATAGACTGCAATGTAAGAGAATTTGTTTAAATCCTTTATCATGGTTCAACAATCTCATAGAACAGGCACTATCAAAGCTTTGATAATCAGTTTGCATTGTTTCCTTTCTGCTCAGAGTTTCTTACTGTTTTTATTTTGCCAAGTCTGAATTGATGAATTCTTCTCCCAAACTGTGTCAATGATATTCCCCCTTTTACAATCCTTGTCAATTAATCCTTCTGGTATTTGGGACCATCTAGGCCCAGTTGGTTTGGGGAAGCTCTATAGCTCCTTGTAGCGAGGAGCATGTCAGTTCCAGGTAGCTCTCACATTGCAACCATTTGCAGTTACAACAGTGATTAAAAACTTTATAGCAATCTTTACATCCATGACCCTCACAGGTGTGAAAGCAAAGGAAAGCTGAAGTAAAATTGTAAGTATAGCTGTGGTTTCACATAGTGGCCACTTTGCTTAACAACCAGGTTACTGGTCCCATTTGTGGTTGCAAAACAAGGTCTGTCTTGTCTTTGCTTTTGTAAAAAAAAAAAAAAAAGACAGCTTTTTCAAACTGAGCTCAAATGCTGGCACATCTATATAATTTTCTTGGCAACAATTCAGAAGTTAGCTTCTTGATTTCCCAATCTAGTGAACAAGTGTGGCATTTTTTTGAGGGTGGTCTCCCTTTTAACTACTAGCCAGGGATGTGCACCCATGCTGGCAAATGAAACAGCAGCATAAGCCATGCACAGTTCAGATAAGTTTTAATGGTGGAATAGATCTGTTTCATTTATGTTCTAAACCAGGGGTCTCCAACCTTGGCAACTTTAAGACTTGTGGACTTCAAGTCCCAGAGTTCCTCAGCAAGAAGTCCACAAGAAGTCTTAAAGTTGCCAAGGTTGGAGACCCCTGTTCTAAACCATCTCTCTCAAATGCTTTGAACAGGTATATTTGAGATAGTACAATAGGATAGTACAATAGTACAATAAAGCTTTAGGACTTCAGTGGAGGAAGGACCATTGCTTAGCTGAAGATGGATAAGTATCTTCCAAACATACCAGATGTTTGTATTATAAAATTGGATTTTTACATTCATCTGATTCAACCTGATTTTCCTTTATGAGCATAAATATAGTCTGATAATATTTCTCACAAGAAATGTTGAAAAAAAGCAAATGAATATATTTATGTAACCATTTATTGTTTACATTTGTACCTTGCCTTTCTTGCACACTCCTTTTTGATTTAACAATCCACAATAACCGTCCAGTGAAATAGGTCAGGTTGAGCGGGAATTACTGGTTCCATCTCCCAGGTAACTTTTGTGGCTGAGAAAAAAAACTAGCATGTGGATTCTTCACTCCTATTACAACACCACTACAAATCACAATGCAGCTGCTTATTGAAATTCAACAAATGAAAAGGAAAAATGCTCGCAGTGCCATTTGTCTCTTTTATTATCTAAGGAAAATATGAAAAACAATTTAACAATTTGTCTATAGCAAGACAATTTTACCATCTTCAGCTAAGCAACAGTCCTTCCTGTAAAATGTTGAGTACAATATTCCAAGAATAATGCACAAACCATTTGTAGAAGTTCATAAAAACCTTTTAGCATAAAATCCAGCACACCTGCTGTAATGGGTGATCTATGTTCTTCACCAGGGCTGCTTAGAAGAACCATTCAACTTTTCCCTCCCAACATCTTCTACAATCTACTGCAGTGCTTCATATTAATGGGCTATGCACACAATAAAGGTAAAAGCATGCCATTCTGCCCTGCGTTCATGAAAGAACAGCAGCATGTTGATTATATATGCATAATTAAAATGTAATTAACATTTAACTTTAGGTTGTTGATGAAACGTGTATATTTTATGACATAAAGAAGGGAATCTGTTGTCTCTATGGACAAGATGAAAGCATGCAAACAACTACACTGGCTGCTCCATATCCTAATCCTGATCCTTGTATCCTAAATTATGGAGGACTTGTAATCTATTTCCATAAGTATATGCATACACTCTTTCCTTCTCTCCTTTCTTCCATAGAAACAGCAAAGGGAAAAAAAATCAGGATGAAGCGAGGCATGAAGGAAGAGCTGATTTGAGAAAGGAAATAAGCAAAGGGGGGAGGGAATGACAAGGGAAAATAAAAGAGAATTTCCCACTATCTGGACCTAATAAAAGGGTTAAAATTCAACTGGCAAGCAAATTCTTGGAAATCTTGTCTCCTAAGGCAGGGGTCCCCAACCACCGGTACAAGTCCTACCGGGCCGCTGGCTTGCTGGGCGCCGCCATCTTTTTTTGATGAAAAAGTGCTTCCGGTGAGCTTTTCTGGGTAGAAAGCTCACCGGAAGCACGTTTTCATCAAAAAAAGATGGCGGTGCCCAGCTGATGCCGGTACCGGGCCGCGGTGCCCAGCTGATGCCGGTACCGGGCCGCGGCGCCCAGCTGATGCCGGTACCGGGCCGCGGCGTAAAAAAAGGTTGGGGATCACTGTCCTAAGGAATCTGCACTTTTCAGCGCTGGTGTCTGCAATCATTTTCATACTCTATTCATTGTTTTGTTTTTAATCAGCAATTTAAGACATTTCCCCACTTCACACTCATGTGCATATATAAGCCCATGTAGCAACAAAAAGCAAATATTTTATATCTACAAGTTATTATCCTCTGATATGGGATATTTATCTGTAGAAACTACTATCCACAATAGGTGGGGATCTATGACCTAATATATATATATCCCTCAGCTATTTCACAATGCTGCCACCTGATCTTGATTTGGATGCCATTTATACTAAAAGAAATGGACTAGAAAACCTCCAAGGTCCTTTCCAGTTCTATTCTGATGGATTGAGTATATGATCTTCACCACCATGACTGGTTCTCACTGGTCTTTGAAGATCCAATTCTTAGAGACAAAATTAGATGCATGAGATCAATGCTAGAATCCAAATAATTTGAGGGAAGGTTGCAAGATCTTATATTTTGTATGCCTATATTTCTTCTTATATGTAGAAAGGGATCAGATAAACCTGCAGAGAGATTGCAATTCTACTTCTTTTGAAACTTACCTGATTCTTTGCATGTTTTCATCAGTTTATATGCATTGTTCTGGTAGTTAACCTACAACTTAATTGAAATGCAAATTGAAATATAGCAAGAAGCTCCACTAAGTGAAAATTTATAATAAAGCTTTATGTTCTTCTCCCTAGCCTTGGGAATCTTGGAAGATATAGCAACATATATCATGGTATAAGAGATAGTTTTTCATTACACCAGAGAAATCAACTGCATAATGTCTGCTAAATTAAAGCATTTTTTCAAGGGCTTTCTGAAATCTGAAAATTACTGTTCTGATGTCTGCAACTCTAAGCTCAGTCTAAATAGAAACCACTTCTGTTTAAATGACTCACAACTTGGAAGGAAGACTTCTGATATACATAACATACTTCATGTTAGCATTTATATTATTTTGGCTTCAGAGATTTGCTTACGCTTAAAAAGGCAAGAGTTTTAAAGCAGTAAAAAATTTATTTTAATTTTTGACACTCAATACATGTGATCAAATATGACCTTACCAAAGAAATAGATTGCTTCAGGACATATTTCTAAGCCAAATTTCAGCCTACAGCAAATGTTCGTGGTTATACAAATCAATCTCTGGACAACGGTTTATTTAGAAGTGCTGGCATCTCTAGCTACAACAGCATGTACTGTTCCTTAAATGGGTTTGGGCAAGTAAAATATTCCATACACAATGAAGAATTAAAACATTTTATCCTTGAATTTTTCATATTACCAAGTATAATATGCTTCCATAATGATAAAATAACTAAAATCTTTCCCCCTTCAAGCCAACATTTTGCTTTCTAAACAAGTATCTAATTTGACATTTTGTTCTCACTGTTTATAGATTATTCAAGGTCCCCTTCTTTAATTTTATGAAAGGGACAAAGGTTATCTCTGAAAGATCATTGCCAACCTTAGGCTAACAGTTAATCACTAAATAACAAATTCATTAAAAATCCCACCTATATCAGAAAGCAGAGACCATTTTTAATTGTATTAGAGGTCATTTGTACAAATAAGAGATTTTAAATCTCAGAAAAATAAAAACTGAACAGGTCATTAACAAGAGCAGACATGCACTATGCTGTTTTTAAATTTGCAATGCAGAATTAAATGCTACCCAAGAGATAAGTATTACAAAACAATAAGATTTTGTTTAACTCAAGAAGGTCAAAGAAAACCTATCAAATGAAACAGAGGGTAATGAATTCTGCAGCCAATGGGAAAATGTTAATAAATCTTACTGATGAATGTAGTGAATGGACTGCTCCTTATAGCATTTACTGAGTAAAGTGCACATTGATAAATTATCAGTTCAGTATATTACAAAGCAACACGGTACATTTCTATAGCCTCTTGCTCCTTTTAAAATAAGTACATCTGCATTGTTTTCCTCCTGTGCTCTGAAGCACTGCTATTTTGAGTCAGATAAGACCCTGTAGGTATGGACACTAAATGTTTGTGGGTATATCTGAACTTTCTACTACACTGATGTGCGTTTTTGTAAAGACTGAATAATATAGCTAGAGGAAAGCAATTTAATTTTGACATATATGTGGAGAAGATGAAAAATAATATTTTGTACAATGTAATTATGCCTGGAAAGGAGATGACCAGACTCATTACTTTCCACAATGAAACAGGTAGACAACCAAACAGAAATAGCATCTCCTTTCAATCGTTTACTAAACTGACATACAGAGATAACGGAGAACATATAGTACAAGTGGCAGTTTTTCTTTATCCCAAGAAAGGGGAAAAAAAACTTTGATAAAACATGCATTATGAGAAAATTTTATTCATGAATAATATGACCCTAATTTCTTCAGTGTTTATCCTCTATCATATACATGGCAAAGATGGTATGCTGCATCTAAGTCATTTATGCACACACCCAGAGTCTCAAGAACATATCTATAAGGAGGAACGCATTAAAGGTTGCAATCATTTATTTATAAGCCCCTGAGCAATTTTTCCCTAGAGTTAGGTGAAAAAGGCAAAAGTGAACAAGATATTTCTTGCTCTTTAAGTGCTTTGTGCAACATCATTTGGAGAAGTTATTTCTGAAGTCCTTTTTCTTTAACAAGGAGGACCACAGTTTGGTTTCCTGCTCCTGAACCTTGAACATGTTATAGATATTTCTCAATGCAGTTCTTTCCAGTTGTATTTCAGACACAGTGAAGCACATCTGCATTTTTATAGCTTTTTGCTCCCTCAATCCATGTTTTCAGTTCTGCAGAGTGTGAAGGAAATGCTTGAAGGGAGAGTGTCTCTTCACAGTAGTGTCATCTGGGTGACACAGTGGGACTGGAGAAAGAGCTGGAATTTCTTGGTGACTGAAAGGCCATTGGTGGAGTGCCAGGGGAGAGTTTTCTTGGACTGCAAAGGTCCCCATTGTGTAGCTTCCACAAAAGTTCTTCATTTTCCATTGATAGACGTTTATTTACCTTGGATTCCTTCTCCAAAGATTCTTGCAAAACTGCTTGCTCAGTGGAAAGTTGCCTGTTTAAAAGAGAAATTATAAATGAGACCTCAACTTCAAACAGATTTATCTTATTCTTTTTTTAGAACATTTACAAGCTGTAAAGCAGGGGTGTCCAACCTTGACAAAGCTGGCTGAGGAATTCTGGGAGTTGAAGTCCACAAGTCTTAAAGTTGCCAAGGTTGGACACCCCTGCTGTAAAGAGTTCGGCTGGACAATTCTCCATCCTTTCCTGGTGTGGTGGTGGTTCTTCCAGAACTTACAAACTCTCCATTGAATTAATAGATTATGCTCCTCTCAAAATTACAAACTTGGACAAATAAAGGCTTTAGTTGAGCACAATGAAATCCTCAACTTATTTCTCATTTTCTTCAATCTTATTGGTGTCCATCTATTAGAGGAAACATGTAATACTATTAGAGAAATAATATAATAACTGCAGTAGGATTTTCTACTCAGATGTTTGTAGAATAACTATTTTTCACAGGGAAAAAAGTTGGGAAACTTTATCATACTCCACTCTCATTCCTCTTAGCTTGAAGTGATACTATCATTTTCGCCCTTTAAAGGTGGAAAGGGAGGTAAAACTGAGCAATTTTCTATACTCCCAAATGATGCAGCATGAAACCTGGAGGCCCTGTAGTTGGAATAACACACAAAATATTTTTCTCCCAGGTGCAAGAGATGATAACAAGCAAATAAATTATTTTTTAAAAATTTGAACTTAAACTTTTGATAGTCCCCAGAGAACATTATACTGACCCTCAAAAGATGCTTCTCCATTTATTTGAATTTTAGTCCCACTTTATTATACTAGATTTAGAACAGCTTGTTTTATGGCTTTATCTGTATATATCTATGATATTAGGGTCAAATGCATACTTCCCTAAAGTGAGCTTTAGTGTGGCTGCTAGACCATAACTGAATTGTAATTTTAAATGGCCAGAGGAGAAATATAATTAAGTATAAGACGAATCTTTATATTTCTCTAATTAATTTAAATTGCATTCAGGTTTATTTACTGCAACTATATTTATTCATCCTGGTCATGTTCATTTTTTAATTACTGTTCTTGACATGTCACTCAATGTCTAAAGAAATTCTGGAAAATGTTTGCATGCATCCTGTTCTAAATTCCCCCCATGAAGGATAGGTATCTAGATATTGGCCTGCTAGAGTTGAGCTTTTAAAATACCTGGAAAGTTCCATATGTTTGTCCATCCGAGCTTTTAATTCTTCATTCTCCTGTTGAACTTTTCTCATTTTCTCTACCAGGGCAGTGTTGCTCTCCACCTTTGATAAAAAGTCAAATTGCACATTTTTTTTGACCAACACAAGGGAATACTGCTCTAATGCATCAGTGTTGCTAATCCTCTGAAGCATTTTTGTCAATTACAATTTAAAAGTTATCCTGAATGTGTATTTATAAAGTACCTAACAGTGGTAATAACTCTGTCAGTCTGTCGCCCCTGGCAAAGTACACTACATATAGTTTTTAAACTGCTACAATACAAATGTTTTCAATAAACCCCAAAAGACAGTTTATTTAAATGGATCTAGTTGATCCTAGGCTCTTAATCTAAAAATAAAGAAAAAAAGAGATTCAGTTTATTCACAGTTTATCATGGGTATCTTTCTAAGAGAGCAATAGTCCAGTTCATTATATATTCTCCAGTTATGCAGCATGTAAAGTACACAGAAGTATATGCAGGAAGTAGGCAGGAGAAGAAAATGTATGGATAGCTGAGATTTAAATATAATTGTAGCTGTGAAAAACTCATCTGAAAACCTGATCCATTTAAAAGACATCAAGCAGATAGATGTAAGCTCTAAGCAACACCAGAACCCATCAGAGAAGATGGGAAAACATCCTGTAATTCCAGTTTCCACCCAGAATTTGTAGTAGAAGGACAAAAAAATAAATAAATTCAGGACAAGTATCCAATAATCTAGATAACCTTTTATATCTTGATGATATTTGGAAACTTCTATATTGTTAAGTTGCTAAAGTATTTGTTTGGCTTAAACATTTTGTCTTCGTCAACAATGTCTATTAGAACAGACACTTATAGCATGGTTCTTTAAGAACCATAAATGCAAAATAAAAAACAAGCCATAAATGCAAAATAAAAATATGACTCTTATAGATTAATATTTTTGGCCCCAAGACAGGATATTTTAAACTCAAAAATCAGCTAATTAATGAAGATAATTCTCCTTCCTGATTAATAAACAATAATTCTCAAGCCAAGTAATTATCATTTTGTTCAAGTTGTATAAAAGCAAGAAATAATTTATACTACATATTTTAAACATTCAGAAAACTGTATTTTACATCTGTAATATTTAACCAGCAATGCTTATATTGCAAAAAAGAGTGAAGTGGAAAGAAAACCACCAGAGTTGGCATCCAGGCATATTGCAGATTCCTGGCTAATAATGAAATCTGAACCAGCAACTTCAATTTTAGCTAGTGCAATGGAATCAGAAGCCTGTGCTAAAAGCTTATCCTCTCTCAAGATTAATTTTCCTTCCTGAAATTAGTTACAGGCTAATTTACATGTATTTGTCCCATAGTAGAGAACATTTTTGGTGCATATTCCCAATTTCATACTTCAGTGGTTTGCATTATCAGCACAAAAATGAGATTTTGGAGGCCAGTACTTCAATGTAAAGCTTACCAGTTTTTCCACCTTCAATAGTTTGTTATCTTGCTGGTGTAATTTCTCATTCTTGATCTCCAATACTGCTTTCAAACTTTCCAGTTCTTGTTCCAGGTACATAATCTGAGGATTTTTCTGAAAATTTATATACAGAGATGTTTTAGGAAGGCCCCTGAATACTGCCATGTGTTTTAAATTAGGTGTATGATATAGTGATTGGCTATGGATTTTCTTCGCCATACTTGTGGGCAATGGATAGGGAAAAAATATAGACACTTGCAAACCACCCTAGAACCCTTCAGAAGTACCTGCATGGAATGGAGAAATTTATGAAAATTGTATTTGTATTGGCTGCAAATATCCATGCATTGCCAATTCCAAATAAATGTTACTTTTGTAATTCCTCAAGGATTAAGCTATGCGGAGTGCTATCTTTTATTAGGACCAACTCAAATGACACAAAATATGCAGGCTTTCAAGTTACCCAGATATTTTATCAGATAAGAACTCAAAAGTTTACCCATTCTTTTGTACCAGCATATCAAAAGTTACATTTTGGATTTTCTCTTATCATCCTCCAATCAAGATGGTTAAGACACTGATCATTTTCAGATGCTGAGGTATGCAGCACTGCATAAGCTAAAGATCTAAATGGAATTCATAACCTTAAATATACCTCAAATGCAACATTCTGGTTTTAGGGATTTTGCTGTAAGCAGGAGTGATTGAGCAGTGTGCCCGTGTAACCACTGTGCGCTATTCTATAAAATGATGGAATGCCTCCAATTGTGTTTTCATTTAATGCTGCAGAAGAGGGAGGACACAGCATCCTGCCTGAGAGTCATTAAAGCAGCCACACCTTTATGAGGCTGCAAACAAAAACACTGCCCCTATGATTTTGGGTGCGAAATAAATATTTTGAATTCAGCTATGCAAGTTTAAGTATTCTCAACATGCGCCCATTTGAAGTGACTCACTGACATATAAATGGTATAAATGTTTTTTTTTTTCCTGAAAATGCTTTGCTTTGGCATTTGTGTTACCTGTCCAATATATTAATTAAAAAAAATAGAACATTCTGCAATATTTAGGAGAAAAAGTATTTTTCTTGGATCAGACACCTCCTGCCAGCTTTTGCAGAGAATGATGAGCGACAAAACCTAAATTAGACAGAACTAGGATTTGAGTGATATGGTGGTGGTGATTCAGTGGTCTTAAAGCAGGGGTGGGCAACTATGGCCCCTTTATGACCTGTACAATTCTGTAGAATGCTGGCTCACGAATTCTGGGAGTTGGAAGTCCACAGGTCGCGCAGGGGCCATAGTTGCCCACACCTGTTTTAAGGAATAAAACTGGTGCCTTAAGCTTCTGCAAGCTTTGCACAGTCCTTAATTTCCCTCACCCAACACAAAATATGCTAAGTTTATAGTTTATAGTTATATTCTATGAACATATTAAATTAATTGCAGCTTCAGGGCTATGTTTTTGTACCCCGTCTGAAAAGTGCCTGATAACAGTGAAATATTTATTTTTTAAAAAATGTACTTCATTGTTCTTTTATTAACAGCACTGTAGCATCATTATTATACATATCCATCTATACATTAACAGCACTGTAGCATCATTATTATACATATCCATCTATTGTGAATATTTACTTTAATATATTACTTCTGGAAGTCACCTGAGGTCCGGGGAAAGATTTCTACATTTATAATAATGTTTACAATATATACTATCCAATACCTTACTTACAGAGTGTGCTTTTTCTTTGGCTATTCGTTTTTGTTCTTCCAACTTCAGCTTTTCATTTAAGCAATCATTTTCACTTTGTAATTCAGCTATTTTTTTCTGAAACATTAAACACAGTCCAATATAACAATCGAGTCTCTAACACAGGGATGTCAAACTCAAGGCCCGCAGGTTGGATCCCGCCCTCAGGGTGCTTAGATCTGGCTGGCAGGGCTGCCCTGGAAACAGCGAAGGACTGGCCTGTGGTGCATCTACCAGTGAAAACAGAGCTCGGTGGCCCTCCCGAGCTCTGTTTTCACTGGCAGAGCACTGCAGGAAGCCCCTGCAGGTGCCCTGACACAAGTGATGTTGAGCTGGCCATGTCTCCCACCTCCCCACAAGGTCAAACACAACCCTGATGCAGCCCTGAATGAAATCGAGTTTGACACCCCTGCTCTAATATAAAGCCAGGAATCATTTTTAAAAAATACTATCAGAATAATAAAGTAAATTGGTAGAAGTCAGAAATAAATATGTGCTAAGATTCTTAATACTATTAGCTGGGCACCAGAGTGATACAATATGTTAAACCAACCAGCATAAGCAATAAATATGTTTAATAAAAACTAAACTGCTGTGTTATATTAATAAGGACTAAGTATAAATATGAATTTTTTTAAAAGGGAAAAGGTAAAATTTTCAAATAGTGCAGGAATATAATCTTGAAATAGTTCATAGAAGTGTCTATGTATTAATAAACTGGGGAAAAAAATTCAGACCTCCAGTTCTTCTTGCTTCTCATGGAAAGATTCTTCAAGTGACTTTCTTTCTAATTCATGGGTAGCCTTGAGTTCTGAAAAAAATTAGAAATTTATTATTATGAGGTAAGATTCCCTAACATGCCTTTATTACAAGTTAAGTTGCAGTAGCAAAAGACCAGGTTACATTTCAGTTAGAAATAGAAACATCTTGTATGCATTGTAAAAAAAAATATCTCTGTTATGCTTTTGAATATCTTTCTAAATGTAACATCCTTAGTTACCACAGGAAAGAAATGAGACAATTTACCTGAACAAGAAGATTCATATTCCTTCTTCAATTCTTCTATCTTTTCTGCATGACTGGTTTCAAGTTCTAGCTTAAAATTTTCATGTGTTATATTCAAGTTGTCAACCTAAAAAGTAACAATATTTTAGAATGTGTGTGTGTGTGTGAGTGAGTGTAAAAATAAATCCTTATTTTGGGACAAGTGTGGTTCAATCACTCCTTCTCAACCCTAGGAAGTAAGCAATGGGAAGCCACTTCCAAAAACCATGTCAAGAAATCTGCTAAAATGTCTCCAGGCAGTTTCCAGGAATCAACACTAACTCAAAAGTATGCACACACACACATCCACATCCACAAACTAAATCTACAAGTATTCCACAACCCCACCATAGCTTTTCATAGGCCTTTGGCTTAACAAGGGTTTCAACATGATTTGCAACATCCTAGGCCATCCTAGAATGCTGCTGCATTTCAATGAAGTTCTTAACTTTACTGAAAAATAAATAATACAGTTGACTCTGTGAAGATTTACATATTTACATACACACTTTTAAACTTCACTGCCAAGTTTCCAGAATGAATGCATTAATGTAGAAACAAACCTTGATTAAAGAATATTGCAACAATTAAGCATTATGCTAAATAAATGCTCCATCCAACTCCAGCTCTACTAACCTGCACCTGAAGTTGTGCTTTGTATTTTTCAGCTTCTTCAATGCAGATACTCTGAAGTTTTTCACACTCAGCTGTGTAGAACTGTTTCAGCCGCTCTTCCAATTCCAATACATCACTTTGGTGCTGTTGGTTCAGCTTCTGCACAAACCCTTCATAAGCTGCTTGCAATTCAGTTCGGTCTTTCTCCAATTTCTCACAGGCAGCGGTAGTAGTGACTGGATATGATAAATAACAACAATTTCCTCTTATGATCAAGTAGTTTCACAAACACAAATGCATAAAGCTTTTACAATTCTTTTCCTCCCCCCAAAAGTAGATACTCAACACAATAATTTCAAACAAAGTTTCCAGTGAAGATAGAAATAGAGTACTGAGGGTTTATTTACTAAGGGTTAATTATTTCCAGGTTTAATCCTAAGCATATCTAGTTTAAAAGGTGGTCGGATAGCAGCTAATAAAAATACCCTTCTGGAAAAGTTGAAAAGCTACTTGCAGTCTGGGCTACCACATAAACAGTCATGTAAATCATCCTTCACTCTTTCCAAAGCCATAGCATCTGTATCCAAAACAATACAGTTGATTCAAGACACGTCTCAAATAAAGGTTTAACAAGGCAATGGAGTTTTTCTAGCAAAATCTTTCCCAGTGCTATCAAGTTGCTTAAAACAGGATTTGTGTTTTTTCCCCAGAAAGCACACTGTCTATCTAAATGATGTTCTTGCCTTGTGGGATCCATTCAATTGTTCAGAAGTTTCCAGCACTATTCATCTGATTTTGCTACTAATTACAAGCAGTGGTCCCAGCCCGTGTTTCAGATTCAGAAATCAATATTGGGGAATCCATCCATGTGGAATATTGCATTTTTTTTGTCATGTTCTTCTACATCTTTGTGAAACTGGTGGGAGAAACTACTAGGTCATGAAGCATAAGGATTTTTCAGCAGGAAGTTCTTTACCTAGCAGAGTTCTCCCTACCCCAAAATATGCAGCCCTGCTATTCAAAACTGTATGGAAGATTGTGTGTACTTCTGATATATAACTTTGGTCTCTGGTAATTATTCCACACTGACCAAATTATATTTTAAACTGTTCTTAATTCCATATTTCTGGTGCAGCAGTAATGCTAAATACAACCCTATAGTTTAATATATATCTATGTAGTTATAAGGAGCTAAATGTGCTTCAAGAGACTTAAAATACTCAGTTTGAGAAGAGTTAATCTTGAATAACATTTTAATTTTTTAAAATAAATCACCTTAGTTACGAACAATATTCCCTCATAAGACTTAGCTAGATATAGTAGGTTTAATGTGTGTCTTTATTTTGGGTAATAAAAGAAAATAGTTTGGAGCTAAAATTCAGAGTGAGAAAGCACTTACGTTCTCAAATTAGCTTATTTTGTATAACAAAATTAAGATAACATCAAATTCTAGCTACAATATAATTATGCTTTTTCTTTCATTTTGTTACCAGAAAGTGAGTATATGAAGTCAACAAGAATGGCCAGCATACCTATTTCAGATAGCAACTGGACTGACAATTTGCCAGTTTGTGGTACAGGCGGTCCTTGAAATGGCTCTAAACAACAAATGGTAGCAATAGCACTTAGCAATAGTACTTAGACTTATATACCATTTCACAGTGTTTTTACAGACCTCTCTATGTGGTTTACAGAGTCAACCTATTGCCCCCAACAGTTTGGGTCCTCATTTTACCCACTTCAGAAGGATGGAAAACTGAGTCAACCTTGAGCCTCGTGAGATTCGATCTGCCAAATTGCAGGCAGCTGGCTGCAGCAGAAGTAGCTTGTAGTACTGTACTCTAACCACTGTACCACCGAGGCTCTGGTAGTTACAGCCAGTCCTCAAACTTCCTGCTTGTTGCTGCAGCCCCATGGCCACCTGACTGCAATACAGGTATTTAGCAACTGTCCTAAATTTTTGACCATTGCTATGTCCTCTGGTCACGAGATCAAGATGTGCAACCTTTTGCGTTCCAAAATCAAAATCAATGGGGAAGCCATCAAGAAATTGAAAGCCAAAATCATGTGAGGTCCTGGCTTAACAATGCTAATCAGATACTGTTGCAACTGTCATCAGTAAGCAGTGTGGTCATGTGACTCATGCTTTACAATCACATCTCACATCTCAACAATAATTCTAGACTCAATTACTATAGTTAAACAGTATTTTCACTTGTTAGGAATGGAGAAGGCAGGCAAAATGTACCTTACAATTTGCTAGCAAAACAAATCTACATCTCTAGGAGGGGCACTTTTTTTGGAGGATGCCTACTATCTATATAGTTATCTTTTAAATGGCCAGGTATTCTTCTAGATTTTGACCTGTGAGATTTAATGCCAATTTAGTCATTTTTATCTTAGTATCATTTGTTACTCTTCTTCTTTTACAATTTTTATGAGGGAATTTATGTCTTATGAGGGAATTTTGGTCCAAGCAGCAGAAGTCTTCCTTTCTCTCCCTCCCCCCAAACTTTGCCAGAAATGAGTCTTTGCTTGCGCAGCCTCTTGGAGCAGGATGCCTTGCAGGGTCCCAAAGACTCATTTCTGGCGGAATTTGGGGGAGAGAAAGACTTTTGCTGCTTTCCTTGCATGCAGCCAAAAGCAGAAGAAGAAAGAAGAGGAAAGAAGTAGCCCAATGGCCAGGCAAGTCTCCCCTGCCCTTTCTCCCCTCCTCTCACTACCTCGTGTTGTTCTGACACAAGCCTTGTGTTCCTGTGAGCCATGTGGGTGGTGCAGCCTTGTGTTCCTGTGCAGCCTAGATTAATTGCTTTGGGGTGTGTGTGCTCTGGGGATGACATTTCTGTGCGGATCACCAAAATTTTCTCGCAGACCACCAGTGGGCCGCGGTCCACTGGTTGGCAACCACTATGTTAAAGCATAGTTTATATTTTGGAAAACTATTCTGGTAATTCTGTAAAAGTGTGGATAATGTAATATTAATAATAACACTGCTACTGGTAATTATTTAAAAGGGAAAGCAAAGAAGAGAGAAAGGAAAAGGATGAGAAAAGAAAGAAAAGCCTTCCTTAACAAAGCCCAGATTTCACTTTATTGGTCTAGCACAGGAGTTCCCAACCCCTGGGCTGCAGCCCACTACTGGGCTATGTAGCTTATTTGGAACTGAGCCACATGAGAGGCGACCCTGCACAGCTCCACATGAGTGGCAGGCCGGTGTGCATGTGTTCCCGCTGCTTGCATGGGCCAGTTCCCCTCTCCCATCCTAGCTGGGATATTAATGTGCAAAGGTCAGCCTGCACCTGATTATTGGATATTATCAAAAACATCTGGAAAGATCCAACTTCCTGAAGAAGAAAAGAAGTGGACATGAAACAATTTCATCATTCGGGGATGCTTTCATATCTTTCCAGGATGAAATTTCATGCATATTAAAGAATAAGAAATACATTACAAAAGTTGAGTTTTTTAAAAAAAAAAATCTGATGCAAAAAGCTAAACTATGCTTATTTATTTCAAAAGGCACCAGTCCATAAGTCAGATTTTTTGCAGGCCAAAAAATTGAGTTGTGGAAATTCTTTTGCCTCTTCACCGGGGAAACAGAAAATATTACTTGGCTTAATAACCAGTGATCATGATTCCTAGTTATCTACTCCATTAAGACCTCTGGCATATCTTTCATTTGCCATGGAAACTGAAAAAGAAAACATAACTATCACCTGCAGTTTGGACAAAAGCCTTGTTGTTTTTTTAGCTTCTCTAAACCAGAAAACAAATGGGTGGGAAAGAGAGGAAGAAGAACACGTATGTTGCTGGATGACCTTTTGCTAGAGAAGGAAGGACATCTGGCTTGGCAAAAGAATTTCAGGACAGGACAACCATCAGAAAAAAAAAAGAAGTCAACAGAGCTTTTAACTATAACTGAGGTTAGTCAAGGACCTGATGAGGTTAGTCAAGGACCTGATCATTTTGAGCCAATTATAAGTACGAACTACTTTTTCAAGGAGAAAATCCAAATAGAAAATGCTAAAAGTGATCTAGACAAGAAGCACAACCAGGAGTGCTACATCTATTGTTATTGTTTCTCCCTCCTTTCCTTTTGCTCTGAAAAACTCCCTCCCTCCTATGCTCTGAAAAACTAAGGAGCATCTTTTCTGAAATGTTTCCCACATATTTCCCACCTCTCTTCTCTTGAGTTGATGTCCTATCTTTGGCTCTCCCTCCTGCCTTCCAACATCATTCCCAATACATTACACTAAGTGTAAGTGCATTTGGCATTACTCTTTCACAAGAAAACCTCCAAAACAGTGTCAACTCTGGCCTTCCACATTGACAGCTTAAACTCACTAATCCAGCTAACCAGCAACTTGAATCTTCTGCAGGAATATAATCCCCTCTAATCTCTGTCGAATCTTTATTCTCCTACTTTATTGTCCAGAAGCACCTCCAATTTACCTGAATCCATTTGATCATTTTCTCTTGGTCTGTTATTGACATCAAAAACTAACTGAGCATGTGAATATTTTCTTTGGATTTCTATGGGAAAAATGTGTTGGATACCATTCGCATCCAGTTATCACAAAGCAGTAGGCAACCTCACACAGCATGGCGTTATATATCATAATCCCAAAGCCTGACATACATCATGAAACAAATTCTTCCAGATTCTTCCAGTATCACTTTCTACAAATGTCCCTTTAAAAATGACTAAGCTTTTGTTAATGGCTCTAAAACTTCCAAGTAATTTTAATACCAGAGAAGGAAACAAACTAAATATAAAATCTGGATGCCTTTTCTACAATGTTGATGCCCACAGGACTAGGGTTGATCACTGATAGTTAACCTGCTTTGTCAACGGGGGAAAGAAAGTAGATGAGCAGTAGCAGGTTTAGCTCACCAAAACAATTATCCAGGGTCCAGAATGGGCAGCTGTTCTTCTTCAAATAAGCCAGAAAGAAGTTCAGCTTTGTATGCACAGACCTGATGTCTCACAGGTAGATTTGTTCAGCCAGTGCAAAAATTCCCACGTAATTTAAGCCATTTAAGCAAAAAGGAACCGTTTGCAAAGTTATTAGATTTCATCAGCACAAAAAATTACTACATATGTTGTGGAATTGTTTTTTTAAAAAAGCCTAAAGTCTCAAAAAGGGAGAAAAAAACATTCAAAATTGTTAATGAAAAAAAAATCTACAAAAACATTCATGACCACAATGCCATGCTTTGAAAAAAATGTCCTCCTGAGGAAAAATAAGCATCATTAAGTCAATATGCTAATTAAATGAAGGAAAAAAATCTAATATGCTTTAAGCAATTTCATACTGCAACTTGTTTCCTTTAGGAAATAAATCAAACCTACCCACAGATGTTCAGAAAATAAAAGTTATTTCTTTTATGATAATGTCCTGCAATTTTTTTTTATAGAATGATGATCACTATGTCAAGGTAAAATGTATAATTAGTTCAGGTGCTCAGACATTCAATTAGCCAGCATTACAGGCAATAAAAACAGTCATTTTTAAAATCTACTGCAGTGGCATCTTGAAGCATACAGTTTTATTTTTATTCTTTTAATTTAGCTGAAAGGTTTTTTTTTAAAGGGCACTATCGGCAATGAGAAATGAAAATCTCAGTCCAAATCTTCCTGTTACATTTTGAAAATTCTGTTTCCCATCATCAAATGCTCCAATTCTATTTTTTTTTAAAAAAGCTTGTTCTTACTCGTTCACTATACCTGAGGTAGATTGGTTAATACAGACCAGGTCTGGAAGAGACACCTGCTTTCAACAAATTATAGGTAGTCCTTGACTTACAACAGTACACTTAGTGACCTATTCAAAGTTACAATAGCACTGAAAAAGGAACTTGTAACCATTTTCACACTTAAAACCATTGCAGCATTCTAATGGTCATGTGATCAAAATCTAGACACTTAGCAACTGATTCATGTTTATGATGGTTGCAGGGTCCTAGGGTCATGTGATTCCCTTTTGCAACCTTCTGACAAGCAAAGTCAACGGGGAAGCCAGATTCACTTAACAACTATGTTACTAACAGTGATTCACTTAACAACTGTGGCAAGGTCATAAAATGGGGCAAAATCCACTTAAGAACCATCTCACTTATGGCTACAGAAATTTTGGGCTCAATCGTGGTCCTAAGTTGAAAACAGTATTTTTTTTTCAAGACTGACATAACTTTTAATATCTAAGACTAATGAATAGCCAGAAACAAGCTGCATTTGTTGACGTTTAAGATGAAGATACATTTTCAAATCTTTGCATCATGTTGCTAGTTTAATGAGATCATAAAGTTCATTTAGCTATTTCTACCACCAGCAAATTGCAGAGCACATATATATACTCACACCCTATGCTGAAGCCTTTTGCCTTGGCCTTGATACTCCAACTGTGTAAGAACAGAGAAGAAATAGCTCTACCATGTAAACAGCTCTACCAGGTAAACAGGTGAGCAAGGTGGAGCAATTCCTCATAATACTAGAATTAGCTATTTAAAATCTCATGGTATTCCACTGTTCCCCAGTTTTCAAAATGGATTTTTAGGGTCATTCGACTGCAGTTGGCCCATAAGCCTTTGAAACATTATTCTAGCATATTTTCAAATAAACATCTAAACATAAATTAGAGACCATTTAACCACAAAAAGCACACATAACAGAACCTGTTCTAGTATATAAAACTAGACATAGACTAGATTGGAACATATGTACAAGTTTTAAAATTTATTTTCAAATACATATACACTTTTCCATTTATTTTTAGGAAAGTTCTTATAGGCTTTTAGGAAGACACCTAAGCTTTCCTTGGGCCTTGGGGATCAGATGTTGAGTCCACAAATGATGAAGATTTCACTCTAATAGCCAACCTACAGCTTTAATACATTTTAATGAATTATGTTTTTAAATTGATTATGGGTTCATTTTTGTATGCCACTTAGAATCACATGACTTGAGTTAGGCAGCCATATAAATGCCTGAATGAATACATAAATAAAATGGACTGTCAGAATCAATTACTTTGAGAACACTGAAATAGGTGCTGTGCTGTTGTGCACAGTAAGATCTTTTCAGGTGAGCAGAAGATATTCCAATTTTCATTCACGGGTAAGATTCACAAGTGAAAAAAAATCCCCTTTCTTTCCATCAGTCTGGAATTCCCGTTCTTCATGTAAACGTGACACATCAAAGGTGACATACACACTCCAACTGTGCCATTCTTGCTGTTCATTTTGTAATTCAGAATGGTCTCAAAGAATCTGGCTTTTTCAAAAGATAGAAAGGACTTGGTTTTTTTAAAAAAGTTGCTATCCCTGCCTAATGCTTAATCCATTGCTCAAAACTGGGCAATGTTTGTTGGTCAACATCTTTATATTATCAATGGGCAAGGGTATAAGAGAAAAGAGAATGACCTCCAGCAGTGGGATTCAGCCAGTTCGCACCAGTTCAGGAGAACCAGTTGTTAACTTTCTGTGCAGTTTGGTGAACTGGTTGTTGGAAGAAATCATTAGTGCAAATAACTGGTTGTTAAATTATTTGATGACCTCCAAGATCCAACAGAAACACACAATACTCTGTTGGTACAAAGTGAAACAATAAGAAACCATGTCTAGCTAGCAAAGCCAACATTAAATTCTCCCATGTATATAATTGTATTACTGCCACTTGAAAAATAATCCCCTTAAAAATTTTATGCTTATGCATGATTTACATAAAAATCTTTTCATTATATTAATGACCCAAGGCAAAAGAAAGCTTCTTTATCTCATCTATTGTATACTTTTAGAAGGGTAAGCTTTCAGTGCCAATAATTGATAATGTATGAATCATCTTAGATATGCAGTAACATTTCTTGAATCTGTCACTCTCCAGATTTGCTAACTCCAAATAGGTTCAGCCATATGTCCAAAAATGGTGGAATTGTAGTCCATATGCAATGAGACATCAAGTTAGAGAAAGTCATATGAACAATGATAAAAAATATAACCACTGCTTAAAATTGCCTAGAAGTTACTAGTAGTCATTACTCTCATAATAAAATATCTATAATTAGAAGGTACGTATAGTCACATTTCACAGATTGAATGTCAATCAACTTATAAAGCAAATTGCTTAAGTGTTTCACATATGTGATGTCAATGCCCCATTCTATTAATCCATAAAATAGGCCAGTCCCAGTTCTGTATTCTGAAATTGTCAGCAACTTGCCTGAGGCCGGCTAACAAGGACAGAGGTAAGATATAAAGCAAAACCAATTTTATTCTCTTACCCATAATGTTACCATAATGTCAGCTTATGACTTAACATTAAATATTCTAAAACTGTTTGTTAAGATGAAATGCTCCTCTGGCACATTTAAGCTGGATCTCATTTTGGATCACTGTAAGAATTTTATGATTCTCTGCCTTGAAGCAGTTAGTCCGTTTAGTTTAAGTGATGTTTTTTTTTTAGTTTCTTGTTTCTTGTTAATTTTAGTTCACTGTGAACAGGCTGGGAGCAAATACAGCACATGTTACCATTGTTTCCTCAGTATGAAGAGGTAAAATAATACTTGTTATACCATTTATTCCAACTTTGGCAACTTTAAAACTTGTGGACTTCAATTCCAGAATTGCAGTCAGCATGGCTGGCTGGGGAATTCTGGGAGTTGAAGTCCACAGCTCTTTAAGTTGCCAAAGTTAGACACCGACAAAAAGTAAAGAAGAACAACAACAAAAGAAAAACATGGATTTGCACAGCCTATCTCATCACCCACTTTCCCCACAATAGATGTTTGGACCATCAGATATATGTTTCCAGAGGAAATTCTCTGGAAGCTCAGGGTCATACAATCAAGAATCTGGAAAAATGGAGTCCACAAAGATCTGAACAGAATGAAGTGGGATCAGTGGGAGAGGGTCTGAACGTGCTGAGTCAATTCTATGACTTCTTATGGCCCAGTTTTGTTGCTCAATTTATCACTTAAAAAAAGGAAGGAGGATAGCATTGATTAACACTTACCCAGATCTCCACGAAGGTTGAGAAGTTCCAGTGATAACTCTTTACGCTGGGAAAGCACTTCTTCTCTCTGTGGGGAAAACACAGCAGAGATACATACAATGTTATTGGGGGGTGGGAAATTCTTTTCAGTTATTATATTTATGGACTATCTGCTAAATGACAGGAGCTGGGAGGGGGGAGATGCCAAGTACGAAACATCCATGATAACAGCTTTTTAACACTGGAAAAACACAGAAGGTTCTGAGATAAGGAAGCAGATGTGTTTAAATAAGGTTTTCACCTCTTGTTAAGTACTTTAAAGTCAGCAAGAGCTTAGTTTTCTGGCTAAGTGTGGATACTCTTAGGATTAAATTAACTTGCATTCAACAAACTTGTAGGACCTTTTATTCATAACTTTGAGGGCCACACAGGAGTGAAAAACAAAGTACAAAGTACTTTATAACAAAGGTAAATAGAGCCCAAGTCTTCTATAGATTACTAAGCCCAATTACAAAGCAACACTGTGTGTCACATTTTCAGTCAAAACATTCCCTTAACCAAGATTATTCTTTTCTTAATGCTAAAGTTGGTGAACATCACAAAAGAATCCACATCCTTTTCTGCCTCTTTCCAACTACTGAACAAGTTACAGAAAACAAGCACCCCACCCCCACCCCCCAAATCTATAAGGCGCAATGAACCCTCTGCCTCCTTCATGCAATCCCTGCTTGAGAACTGAACGTTGCAGAGATATCAAAATGCAAGCTCCCTGCTGCAGGAAGCATTTCACCTTGCTTGCAGAAAACCACTGCTGAAAACTCCTTGACATTATTCCAGAAGAACACCACAGAACAAACACCAACCTTTTTTGCAGCACATGGAAAATACAAGCACACTTTGCTGCTAGAGCAGCCCATCGTACAGCTTCTGTCCCCAGCTTGTCTTCCGTCCCCAGCATATGCAGGCAGGAGTGTACAGGTGGCAAGCGATACCACAAAGCAAACTGGTTGGGCCACATTTAACTTACAACCAGGTCACACTCCATTGGCCACTGCCTCAGCTTGACTTCATCATGCTTTGCAGTTTACCGTAGTCCTTCTACTGGTCTCTCCCAATACAGAGACACACTCACTGCAGCCTCTGCACTTGGCACCAGAAGCTAGTGATTACTTAAAGCTACAGCTCTTTCGTTTCAGAAAAATGAGAGCCAGACATTACTAAGATCGATTGCCACTTACTCAAATATCAGTTGAGAGAGAGGGGGGTTGGGAGAGGAAAGGAGGGAGGGAAAACATCCTCCTGACCACCGCTATAGATAATGGGTTTTATTTTTAGCTTTTCTGAATTAGTTATTCTAGGCTTTTACTCTTAATTTATTAGATAGGCTGGTGCGGAAATGAGATGATGTGAGCTGAAAGGAAGAAAAAAAAGAAACTTTAATAAAATTTGCTTTATGCTTGTTGTGCTGCTCTATTGAGCATAGAGCAGCAAATAAAAGTGATATAATCTTTTCAGGAGTTTCTCATTGGGTCAGTGGGAGTACAGCAAAGTGAAGAGAGCCTTCAGGGCCTTCACTCAATATTTTAGCCTCAGTTCCATGGATACTCTTGGCTCTAGGTTGTGTAGCTTAGTGGTTAAAGCATCAGACTAGAAAACAAGAGACTGTGAGTTCTAGTCCTGTCCTAGGTATGAAGCCAGCTGGGTGACCTTAGGCTACCGGTCATTCTCTCTCCACCCTAGGAAGGAGGCCAGGACGAACCACTTCTGAAAATGTTGCCAGGAAAACAGAAGAGGCTTGTCCTTATCCAGGCATTTACTGTCTGGATTAGTATGTGAGTTTGGCCACCAAGAATCTTTTTTCTTCTCTAAAGGACTAATATGGTGCTTTGTTATTTCAAAATCAGGCGATATATTGCATCGGTATTTATTCTGAATATTTAAGCAGAACATTGCAAAGCACGGGAGTTCTGCAATTGCATTAGGGCTATTAATAGAGTGGGCTTTTATTGACTCTGAATCTTTTGAATAGGTTGTCCCAGATCACACTATAATCCATGAAAAATTATAATATAAACTAATTAGTCTTGGTGGTTCCATAAAACTTATGTTATTTGGCAAATAATTAAGTCTTCTCTGCTTCTATTCCTGAGAAATATATAGGCAATATTAAATATTGATGACTTATTTACATGGACTAGAATGCACAAAGGAGGATTGTATGCATATTCTAAATCCTATATATCTTAATTTTATTAACAGTCTAAATTTAGTGTGTACAAGAAAATAAGGTAGTTCCATTCAAGACACAGGAACTACTTTGCAAATAGACAAAAGAGAAAGCCCCACCTTGTGAACATATTTGTTATTTTTGAAATATTTATTCAACTACAAATTAGTTTAAACTCACATTAAGAGAAATCCACTATCTGATAACTGATTAGTCAATCAGGAGCTCCTATCAATTCTTGGTAAAAGCAACAATTCTCACTGTTTAGGAACAGAGTTCCATTTCTTAGGCTAAGAAGAATTTATGTTAAAAAAAAAAGAACCATCTGTTTAGAAGGCCAACAAGTCAGATGATCAAAACCATTGAATCAAATACTATAATTTGACCAAAACAACTCCAAGTGGCTCAAAGAAACCAACATAGAATCCAACCTATCAGTGGCTATTGGATGGATCATCTGAGCAGCAACCAAAGGACCCCTAAAACAACCCCTATTTGTTTAAGGAAAACCTAGGCAGTGCTGTGAATGGAGCAGTATGAAAATGAATGCTTCATAGATTGCTATAATAACTGGGAACTTTAAAATTAATTTAACAGTAATTTAAATTAAATTAGCAGACCGCTGTTTAGCAAGGAGGTGCGCCAACATAGTGGCCTGGGAGAAAGGAGTTTAAAAAACTGATCATCCTCCATTTTTAAAGTGTGTGGGGGAGGGAAGGGAAATCCCCTCAACATCTTAAAGGTTCTGTTGGAGATAATAATTCCACCTATTTCTTTCATTATTGACATTATGCAAAATACAGGAGAACCCTTATGCCTCAGGATCAGAAGCATATAATTTTGTGATTCACTATCAGTTATTTTACAGGATTTATAGGTTGCTCTAATCACAACTGACTCTGACACAACTGACTCTGCCATACAAGTCCCCTTTCATAGTTTGATTTAAGCAAAACAAAATACCATTACAAAAAGTCAGAATGGTTAAAACAACAAAGTAATATCCCAGGATTAGTTTGCAATCCTCCTCTCCCCCATAAAAACATTTCTACTGGAGAGGGCGGAGCTGGCGTCGCGACGATACGGCATGCGATCTTGGAGGTCTGAGATCGCTGCCGATATCTTTGCTCCTGGACGGTCCAATCGGATCTAAACAGTCCCGGAGAGATGGTGAAAGTAAAGAGCGCATCCTGTTGATCCCAGGGATACTGCAAAGTCCCTGGTAGATCCAGGAGAAGCTCTTCTTGCCAGCGGCAAAGAGGCAGCCATTAAAGCTGCTGAAGTTGGGACAGCTTCGAAACGAAAGAGAATGGAAAGAGAGAGTGTGCCGGTTTGGTGAGAATTTTTTCTTTATTCTAAGATTTGAAAGGACACCCTAAGGAAAAGAAAGAATCTGTAAAAGTTTTGACAGAAGTGACTAAGCGGCGATTTTAAACAGGAATGTCAAAGTAATATTTTTATTTTTTTATTCTCATTGCTGGATTTTCTACACACGATCTTATATTTTGAAACCGGACTGGTTTTTTCTCTTCTTTTATCTATTATTTTTATCCTTTTTGATTTTATAATATTTTAGGCTAGAGACTCCCTTTTAGTTATTTTTTTTAAAATATCTTTTCTTTTTTTAATTAATTCTTATTATATTTTGCTTGGAAAAGGAGGGTGAAAGTGAAAGCAAAAGAAATTTTGTAACACTGCCAACTAGAGGCTTGGAAATATTCTATTTCACTTTTGACCAGACAAAGCTGAGAAAGAACTGAGACTTCTTTTCAAGGACATTGCTATTTGATAAGATAGAGGGAAGAGCATCGGAGAGTATTATTGCAGGTGCTCTTCTGGGTTTCTATCAACAGCTGGAATCTGGTATGGAAGCTTATAGGAAAAGAAAAGGTGATAAGTCTCTGGAGAAGAGAGTTATAACAAGAGCCTTGGATAATTAAACAAAGTGCAGTGTGCTCTTTTTATTTTTTCTAAGCTGCACTACCCCTCCTCATCAGTTTACTTTTTGTAATAGCTATTTGGATTTCTGGCCCTTTGGAACTTGTCTTTGTTCTTTTTTTTCTTGTCTTTGGAAGTTAAATTTCTACGCTTGCTCTTTATTTTAAAGGAAAAGCTTTAGTATTAATGATTCCCTTCCTTTTCTTTTTAAGGGAGTAGCCTTTTTTTCTCTCTCCCTTCCTGGTATTTTTGTCTTTCCATCTACCTTCCATATTGGCTATTTTTCTTTTTTCTTTTTGTTTATTTTTCTGGCCTTCTTTTTTTCTCTTATGCATCCTTTTATATTTGAGACCTGTTAATTGGATTAAGGTGTTGAAGAACCTGAAGAATTTTCCCTTTCTCTTTTTTAGCTTTTTATTTTTCACTTTTCCGCCTTTTTTAGGATTTTACAACTTTTTCTTTTTTGTGTGTGTTTATGGTCTTTTCCTTCATCTTTGAATTTTTACTGTTATCTAACCAATAAGTTGGATTAAGGTATACAAGAACCTGAAGAATTTTTTTTCTTTTTTTATTATTATTACTATTTGGCTTCTTTTTTCCTACTATTTTTATTTGGAATTGCAATCGGTTATTTCGCAATTGGATTAAGGTCTAGAAGAACCTGAAGATTCTGAAATGCTCAAAATGAGTAGGAAATTAACAGCCCCTGGTTCCTCAACTTCTACTTCTTCCTCTCCACCATCTGGAGGACAGCGTTCAATACAGACAATGTTACAGCAAGAAAAAGAACAAGAAAAAGTGACCCTGTAGATGATTATGCAAGGAATTCAAAATATTCAAACAAGAACAGAGAATATTGAAAAGAGAACAGAGAACAAAAAACAGGGAAAACCAATGAAAAGGTGGAGAACATCCAACAAATG